ACGTCATCATAAAAAACCCATTTATGAATAAAATATTTCCACTTCAATAAACCTTAACAAGTCACTGCCGTGTAGTTTGTTCCGAGCCACCGTCCCCATGAAGCAGAGTCTGAAGGCCAAGCGTCACTGGATGTGTGGAATGCTGAAGATCGTTTCTGACTGGCTGGCCTTCAAGGATGCAAACCGATTTTGTTTACTGGTAAGGTCTTCTTTGACCGAATACCGCCTCGATGATGCGGAAACGACGCTCAAGTGCCCTGTAGACCCGAGCAGCTATAATAATAATAATAATCATGCAATTTGCAACGCAGCCACAATATTTCACAGACATAATTGACCGTGACTCTGTGGCACGAAGCTCAGTGTCACACGAAAAGCTCGGCGACTGAGGCACGGGGGGGGGGGGGGGCCTTTAAGTGTCTCTGAAAAGCACCGAACCTCACGCAGTGCACACATTAAACAGGCAGTTTCCCTGTAATTGAGCAATAAGATCTGGACATGCTGGTCGACTGGCCTCCTTCTGGCAGGTGATTAGCTCTATTGATCGATGCACGCAGCACTTGCTGGATGCACGACATCACAGCGATAGACTTAATCGGCTACTCCGGACGGGGGATTATCTTCTGGCCTGGCCACCTGAATGTGAAGTTGTAGTTGTAGCTCGGCCATCGAACATCAGCCAATACGAAAGACGACGGCACTCGCTCAGCGTGTTTGCAGGGGAACAAGCGGCAGACGCTTCGAGCAAAGAGGAAAATTATTTTTCAAGGCGGCGGCGATGAGGGGGTTGGTCGTGAATGAGAGTGCTGGCGGGTAAAAACACGGTTACGCTCGCTCTCAAAATGCCACGGCTCTGTTATTTAATTGTAAACGTTACAGATCTTTCTGGTTTCAACTGTAGCCCGCAGCGTGGGCGGGTCTGCTCCGTGGCGGCGAGATCATGGCACGATTGCTGCTCCTGGGCGGTGTGGTGAGCGATTGGCGGGCGATCCCCATCCCACTCGAGGGATATCCCAGTAAGTACGCAAACGCCAAGCAACTTTGCGCTCACCGCCGCACGTTTTACTGGGATGCAATGCGATATGGCATTGTGACGTGACGTTGGGTCTACGCGATGCCATCGTGAGATGCGGTGATGACTGTGAGGCGACGTGGTATGGTTGTGAGGTTACCATGAATCTAATCTTTAGTACCACCGAGTGAACATTTAAATGACACTTTCATTACTATTGGGGGGGGGGGGCTGGTTTTGGAAATCGATTTTACCCCTTCAAACAATTTTATCCCACAAACTTAATCACGTTATAGATTTTGGCAACTTTTTTCAATCCACTGTTCAAGCGCCCGCCCCACCTACGCGGTGTCGGCCGTGGGTGTTGTTTGACCATACTTCATCAAGCTGGTCAGTTCAGGTTAAGGAAGGCAAGCGAGGCAGGGGGTGGGGATGGGACAGCATCGTCCCCTTCACCAACCCACACCGATTCTAGCCGTGGCCGGGTATCCAACTCAGCCGGGTTCATTCAGAGCGGCGTGTTTTAGACCACAGAGGCAGCGAGCGAGAAGGAAGACTGTACAGTAGTTCTGTTTTCGAATCAATGACGCAGACTGCGTGGAGTGGAAGCCGTCAGGCTACTTTGTGGGCAGCACACGGCACAGTGGAACCAAAAGCCACCGCTCTAACCCGCAACGTGAACCGTTCCCACGTCCATGCTCCCCGCATTCTCCACCCCGCGCTTGACAAGCCTGGTGAAGTAAAAGCCAACGAGTGAGTAGTTCCATCGCGTGCCCGTCGCCCTGGAAGGCGTCTTCGTGAGTGGCCCGTGTGGTGGTGGTAAGGGCCCGGGGGGGCCCACACCGTCGCCGCACCTCCCATGAGCACGGTCGTCCAAGCACGGTGCGAGAGAAGTGCAACACACATACGTACAAGTTGCCAGTTATTAAAGCTAAACTATTTTAATGTTACCAGGTAAAGGCCCACTGAGCTATAATCTTCTGTTTCAGAAGCGACCTGGCCACAAACATCTCAACGGAGTTGGCTTACCGTGTGGAAATTTATAGCGGAGCAAATAACTTCGATAATTTGAACGCATGTTTCTAAATGTGGTTACCCATTAAATACTGCACTGGACGAGCAGTGTTGCCTTTTAGGGCCACGCACGGTGTGACTGACTGACGGGAGGGTTTGGGTGATCGCGCCTCAAGTCTTGAAAAGATTCTTGCCCGCACCTCCCCATCTTGGTTCAGGGTGCTCCCCACCAGATGCCCCCCCCCGTGCCCCCCCTCGAATGCCCCCCACCAGATGCCCCCCCCATCGGTTGCCCTCCACCAGATGCCCCCCCCCCACCCCGGTGCCCCCCCCCCTCTCTCGCCATCCACATGACGGACACAAGTTGTGTGGCGATGCTGCTGCTGCCGCCACCACCGCTAACTACTTCCTGCACTGGCAGCGGTGCACAGGCAGTTAACGTAGAAACTTCCACGCGTGAGTCAACAATAATCATCAGAAAATACTACAGCTGACGTTTCGGGTGATGACCCTTCTTCATCGCACAAGAAGAGGCCACAGAGAAAGCAGATAATAATTGAGAGATGTCACTTGCACCATGGGGCCTGATGAGAATTACATTAATGTTTCCTGATGAGTCATTCGGAAGTTAACCAAAAATGTTTTAAACCGCAGTGTGTATTCGTCAACAAACACTGCAGCCTTAAAATAAAACATAATTGGCGACACTTTGGCTTTACGTCTTTCTTTCCTTCGCCGTGAGCCCACAGAGGCCTTGGCGAGAGAAGAGTGAACCACAACTCGGGGTGGACGACGGGGTGACGAGCAGCAGCAGCAGGAGGAGGAGGCCACTTGGCGGCCACTTGAGGCCCCTCGAATTCGAGAGTTGACGGCCCCCACAGCGATGCGTCCCTGCGGGAAGCTGCGGTGATGGTCTCGTGGGCAGCTTGGCTCGTCACAGTGCGTGGACATTCCTCCTCCTCTTCTAATTATTCTTGCGCAGAGCAGCAAATGCGTTCAAGGACCTGCCGTGCCAGCGATGTCTGCTGCTGCTGCTGTTTAGCCACGACCAGAGGAAGACTTCCCATCGCCCGTGTCTTTGACGCGTCTTCGTGTACACCATCGCTACATGTGCACCATCGCTACATGTGCACCATCGCTACATGTGCACCATCGCTACATGTGCACCATCGCTACATGTGCACCATCGCTACATGTGCACCATCGCTACATGTGCACCATCGCTACATGTGCACCATCGCTACATGTGCACCATCGCTACATGTGCACCATCGCTACATGTGCACCATCGCTACATGTGCACCATCGCTACATGTGCACCATCGCTACATGTGCACCATCGCTACATGTGCACCATCGCTACATGTGCACCATCGCTACGTGTACACCATCGCTACATGTGCACCATCGCTACATGTACACCATCGCTACATGTGCACCATCGCTACATGTACACCATCGCTACGTGTGCACCATCGCTACGTGTGCACCATCGCTACGTGTACACCATCGCTACATGTGCACCATCGCTACATGTGCACCATCGCTACATGTGCAGCATCGCTACATGTGCACCATCGCTACATGTGCACCATCGCTACATGTACAGCATCGCTACATGTGCACCATCGCTACATGTACACCATCGCTACATGTACAGCATCGCTACATGTGCACCATCGCTACATGTGCACCATCGCTACATGTGCACCATCGCTACATGTGCACCATCGCTACATGTGCACCATCGCTACATGTGCACCATCGCTACATGTGCACCATCGCTACATGTGCACCATCGCTACATGTACACCATCGCTACATGTACACCATCGCTACATGTACAGCATCGCTACATGTACACACACCATCGCTACATGTACACCATCGCTACATGTACAGCACCTCGGTGTGTACTGCATCTCTCTGTGTGTACATCTTCTCTGTGTACAGCATCTCTGTGTGTACATCTTCTGTGTACATCGTATCTGTGTGTACATCTTCTCTGTGAACGTCTCTCACCCCGCGTGTCTCTAAACACAGTGCAGCACCACCGCCTCGCAGCCAGGTACAGTAGTGGCGGTCCAGATGTCTTGTGACCCCCCCACCCCTAACATTTTTTTTGCCTTCGCGTATTCATTTCTGTTTTAAATAAACACCTTACTTTAATTAAAAATATATATACATTCGGTTCTGGAGGATTAAACGTGGGTCACAAGACATGTGGACCAGCCCTGCACAGCGGCCTGCGAGTTGCCCTACGCAACATGGCGGCCACACGCTGACATCGACACTGCAGAGACGATGGGCGCGGATCACAGTGATGGTGGTGATGATGGTAGTGTGGTGATGGTGTGGTGGTGATGGTGTGGTGGTGGTGATGATGATGGTGGTGATGATGGTGATGGCTGTGGTGGTGATGATGGTGGTGGCTGTGGTGGTGATGATGGTGGTGATGGTTGTGGTGGTGGTGATGATGATGGTGGTGGTGATGATGATGATGATGGTGGTGGTGATGGTGGTGGTGATGATGGTGGTGATGATGGTGGTGATGATGATGATGGTGGTGATGATGATGGTGATGGTGGTGATGGTGGTGATGATGATGGTGATGATGATGGTGATGATGGTGGTGGTGTAAGAGGTCCCGAGTTCGATTCACCGCTCACGGCCGCCAACACCGGTGGCGATTATCTTGAACCGGTCCTGGGCCTCCTCTATGTCGACTCGGCCTCAAAACGAGTGCCGGGTGCGATTGTGTAAACATTGGCGCTTGGGGAGACAAAGGCGGCCGGGCGTGGTCGTTTCGGCCTTCACAGGTGCTCCATCGCGAACAGCACTTGCTCCGAACAGCAGGCGATACGGGAAATGGTGTGTGGGTCTCTGTGTGTGGGGGGGGGGGTTCTTCACAACAGGGGCCCGTGTGCGAAAGCGGTTGTCGTTGTGTGCGAGTAGCGAGGGCGCCGCCGATTACCTGCGTCACCATGTCTCGCACCACGTCCAGGTCGCCGTTCTTGAGCGCCCACATGAAGTCCTTGTCGCCCATGGCGCTGCCTGGGCCCAGACGTGGAGCAGCGAGCGGCGGAGCGAGAGACGCTGGGTGGGGTGGATGGAGTGGTGGTGGGTGGGGTGGGTGGTGGTGGTGGGTGGGGTGGGTGGTGGGTGGTGGTGGGTGGGGTGGTGACGCCGCCTCGCCCACACCCACAAAGAGCCTGCGCCACGCCCAACCCTATTAACATGGCCCTTACCCAACCCTATTAGCATGGTCCTACCCACTAAATTAACATGATCCTACCCACTAAATTAGCATGGCCCTTGCCCACGGAATTAGCATGGTCCTACACACTAAATTAGCATGGCCCTTGCCCACTGAATTAGCATGGCCCTTGCCCACTGAATTAGCATGGTCCTTGCCCACTGAATTGGCATGGCCCTTGCCCACTGAATTAGCATGGTCCTTGCCCACTGAAGTAACATGGCCCTTGCCCACTGAATTAACATGGTCCTTGCCCACTGAATTAGCATGGTCCTACCCACTAAATTAGCATGGCCCTTGCCCACTGAATTAGCATGGCCCTTGCCCACTGAATTAGCATGGTCCTTGCCCACTGAATTAACATGGTCCTACCCACTGAATTAACATGGCCCTTGCCCACTGAATTAACATGATCCTTGCCCACTGAATTAGCATGGTCCTACCCACTGAATTAACATGGCCCTTGCCCACTGAATTAACATGATCCTTACCCACTGAATTAACATGGCCCTTGCCCACTGAATTAGCATGGCCCTTGCCCACTGAATTAACATGGTCCTTGCCCACTGAATTAACATGATCCTTGCCCACTGAATTAACATGGCCCTTGCCCACTGAATTAACATGGCCCTTGTCCACTGAATTAACATGGTCCTTGCCGACTGAATTAACATGGTCCTTGCCCACTGAATTAGCATGGTCCTTGCCCACTGAATTAACATGGTCCTGCCCACTGAATTAACATGGTCCTTGCCCACTGAATTAGCATGGTCCTTGCCCACTGAATTAACATGGTCCTTGCCCACTGAATTAACATGGTCCTTGCCCACTGAATTAACATGGCCCTTGCCCACTGAATTAACATGGTCCTTGCCCACTGAATTAACATGGTCCTTGCCCACTGAATTAACATGGTCCTTGCCACTGAATTAACATGGTCCCTTGCCCACTGAATTAGCATGGTCCTTGCCCACTGAATTAACATGGTCCTTGCCCACTGAATTAACATGGTCCTACCCACTGAATTAACATGGTCCTTGCCCACTGAATTAACATGGTCCTTGCCCACTGAATTAACATGGTCCCTTGCCCACTGAATTAACATGGCCCTTGCCCACTGAATTAACATGGTCCTTGCCCACTGAATTAACATGGTCCTTGCCCACTGAATTAACATGGTCCCTTGCCCACTGAATTAACATGGTCCTTGCCCACTGAATTAACATGGTCCTTGCCCACTGAATTAACATGGTCCTTGCCCACTGAATTAACATGGCCCTTGCCCATTGAATTAACATGGTCCTTGCCCACTGAATTAACATGGCCTTTGCCCACTGAATTGGCATGGTCCTTGCCCACTGAATTAGCATGGTCCTTGCCCACTGAATTAGCATGACCCTTGCCACTGAATTAGCATGGTCCTTGCCCACTGAATTAGCATGGTCCTTGCCCACTGAATTAGCATGATTCTGCCCACTGAATTAGCATGGCCCCGCCCACTGAATTAGCATGGTCCTACCCACTGAATTACCATGGCCCCGCCCACTGAATAATCATGGTCCTACCCATTAAATGAGCATGGTTATTGCTCAAGAAATGCTCCACGCCCTTTAAAAAATACATGGTCACGCCTACGAAATTTGCATGGTCTCACCCACGAATTGGCATCGTTTCGCCTGTGAGCCTATCACGGCCCCACCAACGAAATGACCATGGTCCCGCCCACTAATTCACCATGGCCCCGCCCACAATATACATTTTTACTTTGGTACTGGTTCACAGTTGGTTTCTTTTGATTCGCATCGTGTGGGCACAATGTCATTTGGAGGCGGTAGGTTTCCTCTACCCGACCCATTCGAGCAAATCAAGTTGCCGCATGGGCAAATGTGCCAATTGATTCCCTTCTTCAGCAAAATCGGAATGTTGAAAGCAAGGCCGTAGCCATGGAGTCAACATTGGGCGAGACCAAATCTTCCAGAGGGTATGGATATTGTATTACATTGCTCTGTTGTTTCTTCTTGTTTCATTGTATGCAATGGCAGAGATTAGGGATTAATAAAGTACAACCATAACCACGAACATATAAACAGAAAACAATTTAATAGCAATATATTGGGGGGGACATTTTCAGCATATTTGAATATTGGGGGGCATGTGTTCCCCCCAATATATATTATAATTACGGCCTTGGTTGAAAGGCATGCAACATCTAGACAAATGGCCCTCAGAAAATAGCCAAAAACAAATGGTTAAATGTTTGTGGATCGCTCTCCAACATACCGGTGTGCTGAAGTGATAATCACTGAAGGGCGCAACCAGTGGCAAGATGTTAACTATCTCGCCTGGTATACAGGAGGTCGTGAGCTCGATCCCGATCCTGACACCTATATGTTTGGAGTTTGCATGGTTTCTCCGCGGTCACGTGGATTTTTTCTCTAGTTTTTCCCTCTACATTTAGTATCAACGCGCGTTTAGAATATTGGGTTGCTTTACATTTCCATGAGGTTAGCCACTTCGTTGAGCTATCATTTGTGGCCAAGTCGCTTTTGAAAAAAGAGCTACACAGCCCAATGGGATTTACCTGGTAAAATAAAAAAAGAATGCTTTAGTTTACAGTTTTAAATTGGCGCATCCGTTCAAGTGACAACTTAGTTTATTTGGCCGTATCGGGTGGAGGAAGGTGGACGACACAACATTGTAATTTTCCTCACAAATCGATCTGAGCCAAAACATCTATTCTGAATGCAAACTATTGGTCGCAAAACCTACCCGATAAATTGTATTTGTTTTAATTTTGTCATTTTGCTTACCCGGGTCACTCTTGCAAATAAGACTATCCTGGTCTCTTGAGGTATACCACCTGGCTAAACTAAATACACTTAGGCTATGTTTACACTACTCGCTAAGCTCATGGAGGCTCACCGGGACGTGTCATTAGCGTCGTTGTGGAGAATTTAAATAACAAAAACAGATCAGCAGACAATGTGCCTCTGCCATGAGACAATGCTTGCCAAATCGGGTTCAGAAGTTGCTCGTGCTCAATCCATACTCCTGAAATGATTCACTCCCAGAAAGCCGTGGGGCCGATGGGTCGTATACAAATCTATTTGTGTGCGCGTGTGTGTGTGGGCAGACAGAGGTGCTCGCTAACAGCACTTGCCCCTACAGTCTGTTAAGGCTATACGGGGGATCTGTGTCTTTGTTGTGGGCAGACAGATACATGAAGAAGACATCACCTGCTTATCTGTTCGCTTGAATAGTGTGTTGCATTCCCAGGACGGGCGATGCGAAGTGGCATCACTATACCACGTGTGGCACAGCTGATGGCGTCGTTTGGCAGCTGGTGACATGAGATAATGCCAGTTGCGGAGCAGGCTGGGGTTGGTTGTTGATGTTGCGGCAGTCAACAACTCATAAACACAACAAATTCAGCAACACACATAACAAACACAACACATTATAATAATAACAGATATAAGTAAAAGGCAACTCTGCAATTATTTGCTCGGGAACAATCTGAAAAACGTTACATATTTAAAAAAATTTGTGATGCCTACTTTTGACACCTTATATGCTACATTTATTGTTGGTTATTTCGGGCAGCAACAAAAAAAAACCTCACTGTTGTACAAAAGATAAAACTCACTCCATAAGTTCACCATTATTTTATTCAACTACAAATAACCAGCTACGGATACAGGATGTCAACATCAACACAGCAACAACCTCGCTAATGGCACAGACCATGGACTCACACCTCCCCCCACCATTAACGCCACCTTCCCCCTCAGCCTCCAACTGACAACTCTGGTGTCACCTTTCAAAACGGGTCCCACCTCAAACCCAGCGGTCCAAATTTAAAAACCCAATTAACACATTTTTGTCTGAATCTATGATTGGTAAACAAGGCCAAAAGTGATGGACCCGGTACAGAGTTTCATGTTCATATTTAATTGACTTATTTATTTGGGAGTTCACCTATGAATTAAATTCCAATTAAGCACCCTGGGTTTTCTTCTTCTTCCATTCGATGGTTCCAAAAGCAATTCGAACCATTGGATGCAACTGAAAGTATGTCATACAAAGTTCTTGAGCAGCATCATGGACAGAGTTAAACGGAAGGAATGCCACGCGATAGCCGGCGTCTTTGTGAAAGGATCTCGCACGTAGAGAGAGATTCCGAAAGCCACAAGCAAATGAGTGGAAGGAGCAGGACTTAAAATCTCAAATCACTCAGCTGCATTATACACGTGCGGGAGAATGTAGCTTTTGACTGGTTCCGTCAGCAACTCAAGCAACAATTATTTCACCAGCGGATTTCGAGTTTGGATCCACACAATGGTGACTCAACCATGCCTGTCTGGTTCTAGCATCAACAGCCACAATTATCGACACTCACTGATTGTAAAGGGGCACTTAGAGTAAAGGTTTATTGATGTCAAATGGCGAAGTGCCACGTTCCATTTTCTATTCGTTTTGCAAAGTTATAGGTTTGTTTTTTTGCGGATAAAAATTGATTGATGCATTTTTCACGCTTTTTTGTGCCGGAGATTTTTTTTTAAACGTGCCTGCAAACCCCACACCTCCCGGCGCCTGCGCTCAAATCAACCCGCAATCAGCCCGATCTTGTCTGGTCTCGGGTGCTAGGCCAGGCTTGAACCGGGATCGCGCTTGCATTTCGTCAAATAGTAATGGGGAGCGAACGTATTCTAGTAGAGAAACGAATAATCTTGGAACGGCTCAAAAAACCCCGAAAGAAACATTCACCACCCTGGCTTGTTACAACGCCAACGCGTGCTATACTGATTTTTTTTAAGCCATGCATTTTTTTTAAACTTTTCCGCACATTGAATTCAAATGCGCCCAGGCGCGACCCACATCGCCCCCAGTAAGTGCTCTAACAACCACTTTTGGCACGGGCTGAGTGGCTAACGGCCGATTTTCCAAGAATTCGCCGCGAAACGCTATCCATCAAACGTCACTGATGCTGAAAGCGCCCCCCCCCCCCAGCACCACTCCCAGTCAGCGCTGGGGGGGGTAGGGGGGGGCGTGCTCACGGCCAAAAAAAACTATAATAAATCTGTAGGGTCTTTGTGCCTCCAAATAATCTAAAGCCATGGGGCAGCGCCAAGGTTCGAGGAAGAGACGCCTCCGGCTCTGTCCACAAACCTCAGCGGCGCTGCCCTCCCTTCGGAGCCACGCACGTAGATGTTGGCAGCCCGATGCCAGTTGCCCCGTCCACTGTGCTTCAATCTACTGGGAGAGCTGCCCACACGGTGCGAGAGCCTTCATCATGGCCAGCTCCCCGCAGCTAGTTTTCTAGGTGTGGTTAAATTGCATTAGCAGACCCCCAGTAAGCAGCATCACAGAGGGCTGTGATGCTGCTTACGTCCCGACAGATTAACACGCGCATCGCCATGTCCCCGCAGGGCCCGCTGACAGGTTTTGGGAGGACAAAATACCAGATAAGGCCACCTCGGAAGGTTCTGATGGCCTCTCAGATCGCCCTTCCTCTCGCCTGCCGCCCTGTCACCCAGCAGCTAAAGACAAGCGGGAGAGAAGCGGCAGGGAGCCACTCATTCACGAGTCTTGACCACCGGGCGACATTCCTTCTGGCTACGTGTCCAGCCAAAGCTCACTTTTCTAAACACTTCGATTCCTTAACGGGTGCGTGTTCTCCGATTCTTGTGTTCCTCCTTCCGTGTCGCAATGCATCCTGAACACGCATCTTTGAGAGACTATAAACAAAATTAGGTTTCCCAAAAACAATTCCCCGAATCATTGCGCAGCGGCGATTTGAGAGGGCTTGGCTGAGACCTCACGCTCGATTATCCTTATTCTGGATCCATCAAATCAACGGCGACTCTGCGCCCGCTTTTACCAATGAGACTTGGCATTATGTCATCCTGCAGAGGTCACCGCGGATCAAGGCAACGAACTCCGAGCTGTCTTGAGTGAATTGACGTGCGAGAGAACGCCAAATTTTGTTCACCAGCTGTGCACTGGGAGTGCAGATCTGGGTGAGTGGGGTGGAGTGATCGCGTCCCTGTTGTGGCTGGGATGAGTTAATTATTCCAACATTGTCATCAGTGTAACTGTTTATCCTTGAGAATGTTGTGTTTCTGCCTGCTTAGTCCGGAACGCAGCCGTTACCACTTGAAATGCACAGATTAGGCTTCATTTTACACATTTTCTTTCCGCACGCGTATCGCTCCTGATCAGTTGTGCTCACACTCAAGGGTTGCCGAGACGTGATCCCCCTCGCCTGAGACGCAGGAGTTCCGTGGGTTCGATTCCTCGCCCTCGCGATGCCGGTTGTATATTTGCAGTCCGCGTGTTCTCTCTCCCCGTGGTGGTCGCGTGGATTTTTCTCCACGACCTCCGGTTTTGTCCTCCACGTTATTTGGCTGCGGCTATAAATTGCCACGTGTGATGACGACGATGATATCAGCCACTTCCACTTCGATGAACTATCATCACGTGTGGCCAGGTCGCCTCTGAAAATTATTTTAGATGTTCATGTTTAATTTAGATGTTATGTATGTATATGTTAATTATTCATATCGGTATTTTAAAATATAATGTTTATTTCAATGAGCTGCTCGGCTATAAGCCGCGTCCGCCCTGCGACTGTACAGATGTTCTCCAGCACAGATATTAGCTAGGGTCATATTAATAGCTCAGTGGGCTTTACCTGGTAATTAAAACAGTTAAGTTGAGATGGCAAATTCCAAAGCCGAATCTTTATTTAGACTGGAGGAATCCGCTGAGCTCTGAAGCCATTTTGCACAGATGCCCAGTTAGATAACAATTCATTCGCGTGCCATGGGCTGCGAACAGCATGAGTCAGACACGACGATCCTGCCATGACATCAGGACACCCCACACCCACCATCCCTTCCCACCCCCACACTGCCATTTCAACATGAAACCCGAGTGGTGATTTGCGAATTTGTGAAATTGGACCCAATGGCAATTGATTGAGGGCATCGATTGCGAGCTCATGGTGAGACTTAGCGACCCCTTCCTCCACGCACGCCACGCGCTCACACGACCCCTGACCCCTGGCCTCTGCGGCGTCAGCGGCGACCCCGTGTTCACCACTTGGGGAGGTGGGGGCGATATTTGACGTCGTCTTTTAGTTTTGTGTTCCAGTGTTAGTTTTGTGCATTTGTGACGTTTATTGGGGTGGGTGGTATCTATTACGCGGTTCTATATGAATGCACGTAATATTATGCTGTAAATGTGAAAGCACTTGGCAAACTTTCCATTCCATCCCCGGTAAGCTGTCCTGTTGCGAATCGTCGCGGGATTTCCACGCGGACGACGACAGTGAATCAGGTCGCCGTCTCTCGTGAAAAAACTAAAAATATATTTTAATTTCACCAGGTAAGGCCCACTAAGCTCTTCTTCAGAAGCGACCTGTCCATCACAAATTATAGCTCAACGAAGTGAGCTTATCACGTGTAAATTTATAGCAGCCAAATACTCTGAACGCGTGATATTGATTCTAAATGTGAAGAGGAAAACCGGAGGACCTGGAGAAAATTCCACGAGGAGAGAAGAACGCAAGCTCCAAATATACAGCAGGCATCGCCTGGGTCGGGATCGAACCTACGACCTCCCGTATACCAGGCGAAGTAGTTAACATCTCTTAGCCTCCGTGGCACCCCTCTTGCCAATGATTGAAAACTCATTTCTCTAGAACTGCTTTTTGTGTTGAGTTTGTTGTCCTTCCCCCGACACCTCCGATTAGCGCGGTTGGCTACGTACGGTGCGAGGAAAAAGTTCAACGCACACACACACACAGTCGAATGGAGACCCTGCTGCTGCTGCTGCTTTGGAGGAGAATGGGCGGTTAATTGAGGAGAGGTTGTTGGGGTTTTGAGGGCGGTAACAGGAAGACAACACGATGTGGGTCAGGCGGCGTCACAAGCACAATCACGGGACGCGTCAGCGCGCGAGCCGGGAGGCGGCACACGATGTCACAAACTTGTGCTACGCAGCACGGCAGCACGCGGCCCCGGCAAGCCGTGTTAATATTCACACACGTAGTGTTACATCGAGTATATCGTGACGTTATTATGCTACATTATGCGTAAACAACCCTAAAATAACCCTAAAAGCACGACACGAACGCACACGAGACTTGACGAGATGGCCACGACACCACGTTCCGCGACCCAAGCAACACTTGCCAGGTTTACACCGCGCGCTCAAACAAACAAAGAGGCAGTCGAGGGGCCACGAGACTTCAGAGCCCATCGCGCGCGGTGCCGGTCAGCGCGTGGCCCCTGCAGGGCGACAGACCTGGGCCCCGTCTCCCAGGTCACGTGGCATGGGGCGGAAGGGGGTTGGGGAGCAACGGTTTGTTTCGATGGCGTCACAGTCGAATGTCAACCAATCCGAGGCGGTGGCTGCCGCTGTGTGTGGATCGCAGCGTCGGCGATGCGTTTGATGTTTTAAGCAATGCGGACCCTCTGAGTTGTCGCGAATTCGTTCGATGCGTGGCAAAGGGAACGCTGCCTACGCTGCTGATTGAGACGGCGCAGGGCAGGACGCACGCTTGGCGGGATTGGATCGTGATGACATTGATTTGTCTTGCACCGAACCGACATCGCAATTCACCACCAATGCTTCACGCCAATTCGCCCGCAGCACTTTTGGTACGGGGCCATTCTGCGAGCTAAACCCGGCAGCCAATCGCAAGCTCGGGACGAGGGGCGAGTGGAGTGACGTCACGATGCAAGCCTCACACGCAGACTGACCAAGGTTCAAGGTTGTGAGCCATCCCAAGACAAAGGGAGCCCCCCCCCCCGTATAGCTTCAACAGACTGTTGGGGCAAGTGCTGTGAGCGAGCACCTATGAAGGCTGGAACGGCACACGAGGGGGTGGGTGGCCAGCACCACGCCCGGCCGCCTTCGTCTCCCCAGTGGCGACGTTTACATACGCACCAGGTATTCATTTGAGGCTGAGTCGACCTAGGGGAAGCCATGAAGGGGAATCGAACTCGGGACCCCGGGTTTCGTAGCGCAGCGCACGAACCGCTACACCATCCAAAACCCACACACACACACATGCGTGTGTGCGTGTGTGTGATGTGTGTGCGTAAGTGTGTGTCAGTGGCACCACCACCGCCCACTGCAGCAATGAACCCTGGACCAGGAGATGGCATCATCGTTAAGCCCAATCAAAACTTGTTGTGAGTGGTCACAGCCACGAGCGCTGACGTCTGGAATTGCAAGTCGTGAATTGTGACCGATCCAGCCCTGCACACAGCAGTCTGCACCTCGTGGAAATAGTCACTCCGTATTGAACAACGAGAACTGGCATGTCTATCGTTCTAACACAAAATATCATTCCGCCAAAATGCCACGAACTGATTCCTCGTGCTTTGGGCCCCCCGTTCTTCGTTAAAGAGAATGACAGCCGCTACTTCTTTCTTGGAAATTATTCCAATGTTTTTATATATATATTGAAATGGCCTTAACCCTAATCTTTAGCTTTAATGTCAGTGATCGGGCCAAATGTAATGTGGTATGAATTACAATAAAAAAACAGAATTCTCTGAAGGGCAGCTAATTGTTGCACAACACGATTGAACAGGCGTCAAAGTTGTTTTTTGCAAATCGCGATGGAAGCGAACGATGAGTGATGAAGAGACACGAAGGCGTGCAGTTGACTCTGCCGCAGTGCCGTCCCCATCTCACAGTGTCCTCGCTGTCGTGTTTAGCCATTGCTATAATTAGTTGTTACTCTGTCAGCGAAGCATTCAATTATTAATAAAACGTGAGGGTTTATGGGGGGGTGGTGGTGGTGGATCACTCATCCATCCACCCCCCACCACCCCCAAGTCCCCTGCTGGCCTAGACGACCCCCCCCCTACATCTCACGACCTACGCTGACCCCCGCCCCCCCAAGCCGAGGCTCCGACCTGGGCCCCCTCCCCCGCCACCCGGCGGGCCTCAGCGGGTCCCGGTCTCCCGCGTGGTCGTGGTGGTGGTGGTGGTGGTCATCGTGTCCCCGTCACCGCCTGGGCCCTCGCGGCGACGCTCAGCGGGACCCCCCCGGCCCCGCTTGCCCCCCTTTTGCTTGCGGATTTTGGGGCCTGCAGGCGACAGTCAGAAGAGAGTGGCATCATCACCCCCCCATCACCCCCCCCCCATCACCCACCCCCATCCCCATTACCCCCCCATCACCCCTCCCCATCACCCCTCCCATCACCCCCCACCCATCACCCCCCCATCACCCCCCTCACTACCCCCCATCACCCCCCCCCCATCACCTCCCCCATCACCCCCTGCCATGACCGTGACTTTTCCCCGTGTCTCCCTCCCCGTGTCTCTCTCCCCGTGACTCCCTCCCCGTGTCCCTCTCCCCGTGTCTCCCTCCCCGTGTCCCTCTCCCCGTGTCTCCCTACCCGTGTCTCCCTACCCGTGTCCTTCTCCCCGTGTCTCCCTCCCCGTGTCCCTCTCCCCGTGTCTCCCTCCCCGTGTCTCCCTCCCCGCGTCTCCCTCCCCACCTCGCGTGCCCGCGGGGCGCTGCGGCGAGCACGGCTTGCGCGCTCGCACGCTGGTGGCGCACGCGGCGCCGTGCAGGGCGCGCTTCAGGGTCCCGGTGCGCCACTTGACGCGCGCCTCTCGCTCGCACTCCCCCCACGACTCGAAGTGGTACTTGCAGTCGGCTGCGAACACAAAGACAAAAGATCACGCACACTCCCACGCCCCCGCCGGATAGCCTCGACAGACCGGTGGGTCAAGTGCTGTTTGCGAGCGGCACACCAGGGGGTGGCGGCGGGGGTGTGGCCAGCACCACGCCCGTCCGCCTTTGTCTCCCTCTGGTGGCGATGTTTTACTACACATCGTACAAGATACTCATTTGAGGCTGAGTCGACCTAGGGGAGGCCCAGGACCGATTCAGAAAATCGTCACTGGCGGTGTTGGCCGTGAGCCGAAGGCCGCGTTCACAACGCAGCCCCCACCCCCCACACACAGCAGCCCCCACCCCCCACACACAGCAGCCCCCACCCCCCACACACAGCCCCCACCCCACACACACACAGCCCCCACCCCACACACACACAGCCCCCACCCCACACACAGCCCCCACCCCACCCCACACACAGCCCCCACCCCACACACACACAGCCCCCACCCCACACACACACAGCCCCCACCCCACACACACACAGCCCCCACCCCACACACACACAGCCCCCACCCCACACACAGCCCCCACCCCACCCCACACACAGCCCCCACCCCACACACACACAGCCCCCACCCCACACACAGCCCCCACCCCACACACACACAGCCCCCACCCCACACACACACAGCCCCCACCCCACACACAGCCCCCACCCCACACACACACAGCCCCACACACAGCCCCCACCCCACCCCACACACAGCCCCCACCCCACACACACACAGCCCCCACCCCACACACAGCCACCACCCCACACACAGCCACCACCACACACAGCCACCACCCCACACACACAGCCCCCACCCCACACACACACAGCCCCCACCCCCCACACACAGCCCCCACCCCACACACAGCCACCACCACACACACAGCCCCCACCCCACACACAGCCCCCACCCCACACACACACAGCCACCACCCCCCACACACAGCCCCCACCCCACACACAGCCCCCACCACACACACAGCCCCCACCCCACACACAGCCACCACCCCACACACACACAGCCCCCACCCCCCACACACAGCCACCACCCCACACACAGCCCCCACCACACACACACAGCCACCACCCCACACACACACAGCCACCACCACACACACACACAGCCCCCACCCCCCACACACAGCCCCCATGCCTCTCTCTGTGCCTGTATCTCCATATCTCAGCGTCTCTCTCTATGTGTGTCTCTCTCTGTGTCTCTCTGTGTCTCTCCCTATGTCTCTATCTCTCTCTCTCTGTGTCTCACTCTATGTCTCTCTGTGTCTCTCTCTATGTGTCTATCTGTGTCTCTCTTCTGCATCCATCTCTCCTTGTCTCCCCGCGTGCCTCCCGGCTCTCATCATTTCTCGTCTGCCCTGAGCAGGAGAGATGACATCCCTTCCCGCTGTGTTCTCCCCACACACCCATCGCTCACTCCAACGCAATTCCCCACTCACTCCCACAATCCTCTCACTGCTCTCCACAGCCAATCGGAGACTCTGCCCTCTGTTATTAAAAACGTTCAATTGACCGTAAAATTACTTATTTGTTCAAATGTCCCTGACAGCTGATGCGAGTAATTAAGTGCCCAAAAAAAGTCAATGTGGTTTCCCTGAGCCAGCGATGCAAATCCAACACTCAGATTTGCGAGGTTGATGCAATCCACAAAATATCCACTCTTGACTTCTCACAAAGCGGTACTGATTTTATCGACCCGGGAGGCATCGACAGCCGAGTTGACCTCTGACTGCACTTTGAACTCGCCGATTGCGAACCACGGTGCCACGGGCCAACCTCAACACCCACCAGAGGCCGGCCAGCCACGAGTTAACCCACAGCGCGGCCGAGGCAATTACAGGTTGTACTCTGTGGTCCGGATCGTGCACGAGGCTGGTAATTTCATGGCGATGTTGTGAGCGCCACTGCCGCGATCGTGGCCTGTGAGGACGAGGTTTGTGCACCCCGACAGATACACGACCTCCCCAACGACACTCCCTCCGTGCGTGAAGCAGATTGTGTGGCCAGGAACTCCTCTACTTACGAACACTCGACTTACGATCTTTCAGAGATACGAACAAATCTGTCCCGAATGTCCAGTTGCCTGTTTGGACCGATAGTCGTAAGTTTAACCGCCTCGCGCAATAATAGATGGCGGTGGTGGCATCTACATCTGCAGAACGTGAAGAACCAGTCGCATGTACATCTACAGAACGTGAATAACCAGTGGAAACTACATCTGCAGAACGTGAAGAACCAGTGGCATCTACATCTGCAGAACGTGAAGAACCAGTGGAATCTACATCTGAGAACGTGAAGAACCGGTGACATCTACATCTGAGAACGTGAAGAACTAGTGGCAACTACATCTGCAGAACGTGAAAAACCAGTGGCATCGACATCTACAGAACGTGAAAAACCAGTGGCATCTACATCTGCATAACGTGAAGAACCAGTGACATCTACATCTACAGGGGATTATACAACTTTTAAAGCCATTCCCCGTGTTTAGTGTACACGTCAGACAACGTTTGGAATCGACAACAGTAAAGTTGGACTTGCGAACAAATCGACTTATTAACAGACCTCTGGAACCTACCTCGTTCGTAAGTAGAGGAGTCCCTGTATGCTAAGCTTCTTTCGCACCGTTCGTAGCCAACCGTGCTAATCGGAGGTGTGGAGAGTCTCGTAACCCGAGTCTGATATTTAAGTCTGGCCTGAATCTCTCACCTCTTTAAAGTGGCCTCTAGCCCCTCGTTCTGGCCGTTCACCCTGCAGAGTCTGTTAATTTCCTGGCTTTCCATTCACGGTGGTGCATTGGTGGGATCTACGGATGAAATGCGCCACTTTACGAATTTAAATCACGATTCAGAAATGCTTCCCCATCCCTGCCTTATGTTTCGTTTGTTGTCCTTCCCCCGCACCTTCCATTAGGACGGCTGGCTAAGTACGGCGCGAAAGGAGTTCAACACATGCACGTACACACCGCGTCTGGCATGGGCCCTGGTGCAACATATGGAATGGTACCACCCCTTGTCCAATTGCCGTCCCCACCCGCTCCCACCCGGTGCAGTGGCAGCGCCTGCACGCTCGCCGGCTCGCTCACCTCCAAACTCCTTCTTCCAGTTGCAGGGGAACTTGCAGCGGAAGCGCTGCGTCTCGAGGGGGCAGGGCCCCCCCGGGCCCCCCCGGGTGCTCTCGCGGCTCCCCGGGCCGCAGTCACCCGCCGTGGGCACGCACGGCCCCCACTGCCAGGGCCCACACCCGGCCGCCACGACCCCCCCGCTCACCCCGCCCGGGGCCTCCGCGGGGACCTCTCCGTCTGCTGCTGGGCAGGGAGGGGCGGGCGGAGGGGGAATGGGGGGGCATTGATGGATTGATTCGTTCATATTGAATAATTCATGGCTCAGATAATTTTATAGCCTGCGACCAAATCACCCTGAATGCACTGATATACCATCTCTGATTTCCAAAGCTAAGCAGGGTGGTAACCCAGCTCAGCTTTGTTTGGGATGTAGAGAACCCGGAAACGTCCACCACCTGCGATGGAGTTGCAACTCAGCGAATGCCATTTCATGGTCAAGCCAAGGTAACCAAGCTTGAAGCAAGCTTCAGCCTGCTTAGCTTGCGAGATCAGATGCCCATTGACTAACCTTGTCCATGGACAAACATTGCCCGTGGACTAACATTGCCCATAGACTAACCTTGCCCATAGACTAACATTGCCCATAGACTAACATTGCCCATAGACTAAAATTGCCCATGGACAAACATTGCCCATGGACTAACATTGCCCATAGACTAACCTTGACCATAGACTAACATTGCCCATAGACTAGCCTAGCCCATAGACTAACATTGCCCATAGACTAGCCTAGCCCATAGACTAACATTGCCCATGGACAAACATTGCCCATGGACTAGCATTGCCCATAGACTAACATTGCCCATAGACTAGCCTAGCCCATAGACTAACATTGCCCATGGACTAACATTTCCCATAGACTAACCTTGACCATAGACTAACATTGCCCATAGACTAACCTTGACCATAGACTAACATTGCCCATAGACTAGCCTAGCCCATAGACTAACATTGCCCATGGACAAACATTGCCCATGGACTAGCATTGCCCATAGACTAACATTGCCCATAGACTAGCCTAGCCCATAGACTAACATTGCCCATGGACTAACATTGCCCATAGACTAACATTGCCCATAGACTAACATTGATGGATGATCAAATTCGTGAGTAACATCACGGACAGAGCTAACTGCATGGAGGGAAGGCCGCGGTCGTCTCCGTGTTTGAGAAAGGACGCGGGGCGCGTGGAGACACACGGCGCCACTGCACGTGCAGAGTGACGTCACCACGAGGCGAGTGCTGCCCTCTCACCGAGTTTCCCACAATGCACCACAGCGGACAGCTCCAGCAGCAGCACAGCGATGCACACGTGGGCCTGCATTCTGCACGAGCACAGTGTCACACATCATCAGAACCATCATCACCAACATCGATACCATCGTCATCTCCATCACTCCGATTATCAACAGCAAGTTCGTTCGTCACCCCCAGCGCCGATGCTTACGCATAGCGGAAACAACAGCCGCCGTTCGCCAGGCTAGGTGCACTTTGAAGCGAAGTGAAGCGTCGAAGGCTCGCTGGCAGGAGGTCACGGGACAGACCCAGGTGACATGGGATGACTGACTGAGACGACTGGCAGACGCACCACCTGTGCTCCCTACACTGCCAACTCCCTGCGTTGTATCCGCCCGGCGCTCCGCTCGTTGTTGTGAGCGTCGTTCCACCGCCCTCCGTTGTTGTTGGAGGGCGACTGCCTCCGACTACCCAGTAGCGTCCTTCACGAGCCTCCTCCTCCACAGAGGCCGATTTTGACACCGCTGGTACCGGTCATCGGCAAGTCCACTCAGCTCCACGTCTCAGTGGGGTGTTTCCACCGTGGTATTTGGTCAATGTCGTACCAGGTGGGGCAGCTACCAGCCCCTCGCACACACTGAATACAAACCACATCGTGAGGCACCCTCTATGATGCGCCATGTATTATTAAATAGGTATCACACCGCAGCCATCTCCCCCCATTACCCATGATACACACACGCGCCGCTGTCAAATTCCCGTGCCACAATCATCACGCCAAGACACACGCTCTCCTTTTGCCATCACCGCATCCGCCCCCACGCCAATTACACACACACACACACGCCGCAATCATTAGGACGATGCACATCCACATGCTTCACGCGTGTACAGTTCCCATCGCCCGCATCACCACATGTCATATTCAAGCAACATTCATCATTAGCCCTACGCAAAGACAAAGATCCCCCATATAGCCTCAACAGATTGTAGGGGCAAGTGCCGTTAGCGAGCACCTGTGAAGGCCGGCACGACACACGACGCCATGGGTTGCCAGCACCACGCCCGGCCGCCTTTGTCTCCCCAGCGTTTACACACCGCCCCAAGTGATCATTTGAGGCTGAGTCGACCTAGGGGACGCCCCGGACCGGTTCAGATAATCTTCACTGGTGTTTGTGGCCATGAGCGGCAATTGAACTCGGGTCGCCGGGTTCGTAGCGCAGCGCGCTAACCGCTACACCACCGCTCCCCACACACACACGTTCACACACACACACATGTTCACACACAGACACGCGTTCACAAACGCACACACAACACACATTCAGGCTCAGTCACCCGCCGCTGTCAAACTCCCATCCCCAGGCGCGGACGGGAAAAGCCTCTCTCCATGGAGACTCTCGTTCCAAGGCCGTAGCAAGACCCCCTCCCACCCTCCTCCATCCTCACAGATAAATCTCTCTCCCCCCCCACACGTCCCCCCCCCCCACTCCTCCCCCCACACCTCCCCTCCACACCCCCCCACACCTCCCCCCACACCTCCCCCCCCCACACCTCCCCCCCCACACCTCCCCCCCACACCTCCCCCCACCCCTCCCCCCCACGTGGCCGCGTGAGCCCGTTCGTGTGCGCGCGCGCGTCTATTGTGTGTGCCAGCGGCATTTGCGATTCATTTAGAGCGACCAGCAGCAGCAGCGGCGGCGATCCGCGGCTCTCTGCAATTCCACGGGGGTGGCGGTGTGGAAGGGGTAGATAGGGGTGGGTGGGGGGTGTGGAAGGGGTAGAGAGGGGTGGGTGGGGGGTGTGGAAGGGGTAGAGAGGGGTGGGTGGGGGGTGTGGAAGGGGTAGAGAGGGGTGGGTGGGGGGTGTGGAAGGGGTAGAGAGGGGTGGGTGGGGGGTGTGGAAGGGGTAGAGAGGGGTGGGTGGGGGGTGTGGAAGGGGTAGAGAGGGGTGGGTGGGGGTGTGGAAGGGGTAGAGAGGGGTGGGGTGGGGGTGTGGAAGGGGTAGAGAGGGGTGGGTGGCGGTGTGGAAGGGGTAGAGAGGGGTGGGGTGGGGGTGTGGAAGGGGTAGATAGGGGTGGGTGGGGGGTGTGGAAGGGGTAGAGAGGGGTGGGTGGGGGTGTGGAAGGGGTAGAGAGGGGTGGGTGGGGGGTGTGGAAGGGGTAGAGAGGGGTGGGTGGCGGTGTGGAAGGGGTAGAGAGGGGTGGGGTGGGGGTGTGGAAGGGGTAGATAGGGGTGGGTGGGGGGTGTGGAAGGGGTAGAGAGGGGTGGGTGGGGGTGTGGAAGGGGTAGAGAGGGGTGGGGTGGGGGTGTGGAAGGGGTAGAGAGGGGTGGGGTGGGGGTGTGGAAGGGGTAGAGAGGGGTGGGTGGCGGTGTGGAAGGGGTAGAGAGGGGTGGGGTGGGGGGTGGAGGGGGTAGAGAGGGGTGGGGTGGGGGTGTGGAAGGGGTAGAGAGGGGTGGGTGGGGGTGTGGAGGGGGTAGAGAGGGGTGGGGTGGGGGTGTGGAAGGGGTAGAGAGGGGTAGGTGGCGGTGTGGAAGGGGTAGAGAGGGGTGGGGTGGGGGTGTGGAAGGGGTAGAGAGGGGTGGGGTGGGGGGTGGAGGGGGTAGAGAGGGGTGGGGTGGGGGTGTGGAAGGGGTAGAGAGGGGTGGGTGGGGGGTGTGGAGGGGGTAGAGAGGGGTGGGTGGCGGTGTGGAAGGGGTAGAGAGGGGTGGGGTGGGGGGTGGAAGGGGTAGAGAGGGGTGGGGTGGGGGGTGGGGGGTGGAGGGGGTAGAGAGGGGTGGGGTGGGGGTGTGGAAGAGGTAGAGAGGGGTGGGTGGGGGTGTGGAGGGGGTAGAGAGGGGTGGGGTGTGGAGGGGGTAGAGAGGGGTGGGGTGGGGTGTGGAGGGGGTAGAGAGGGGTGGGTGGGGGTGTGGAGGGGGTAGAGAGAGGTGGGGCGGGGTTTGGAGGGGGTAGAGAAGGGTGGGTGGGGGTGTGGAGGGGGTAGAGAGGGGTGGGGTGGGGTGTGGAGGGGGTAGAGTGGGGTGGGGGGTGGAGGGGGTAGAGAGGGGTGGGGGTGATGTTGCGCGTGTTGTTTTTTTAAACCCAGCAGAGACCCAAACGCTCACCGAGTCTCATGGGTTGATTAATTCATTATTTTTCTTCAGAGTGGCAAGTCTACGCAGGAGGATCTGTGTCGTCGTGCGGGTGTGTGTCCACGCGCATTGATCGTCACTGGCCAACACCAGTGACAACTATCTGAACCGGTCCTGGGCCTCCCCTAGGTCGACTCAGCCTCAAATGAGTACCTGGTGCGGTGTGTTAAAACATCAGCACCGGGGGAGAGAAAGGCGGCCGGGCGTGGTGCTGGCCACCCACCCGCTAGTGAGCCGTGCTGGCCTTCATCGGTGCTGCTACTCGCTAACATCACTCGAATCAGAATCTGGCTTTATACTGCAGGAGAAATCCGATGAGATTTTAAGATATTTTTTTCACAGATGTCGAGTAGGGGGTGAGAACGTCACAACAACAACACAAACACACGATCGGAGTGCAAAGTATAGGAATGGTAAACAAATCGCGTAAAATATACAAATATAACTCTTTGGTTGTTTCGGTAAAGTCACGTAGAAAGAAAATAAATAAATAAATAGTAAGAACGAATACGACGTTTCGATTGCAACACAATCAACCGTGTCTCTGTGTTATCTCTCTCTGCGTGTGTGTCTGTCTGTGTGTCTCTGTGTTCTCTCTCTCTCTCTCTGCGTGTGTGTCTGTCTGTGTGTCTCTGTGTTATCTCTCTCTCTCTGCGTGTGTGTCTGTCTGTGTGTCTCTGTGTTATCTCTCTCTCTCTCTGCGTGTGTGTCTGTCTGTGTGTCTCTGTGTTGTCTCTCTCTCTGCGTGTGTGTCTGTCTGTGTGTCTCTGTGTTGTCTCTCTCTCTGCGTGTGTGTCTGTCTGTGTGTATCTGTGTTGTCTCTCTCTCTCTGCGTGTATGTCTGTCTGTGTGTCTCTGTGTTGTCTCTCTCTCTGCGTGTGTGTCTGTCTGTGTGTCTCTGTGTTGTCTCTCTCTCTCTCTCTGCTTGTGTGTCTGTCTGTGTGTCTCTGTGTTGTCTCTCTCTCTCTGCGTGTGTGTCTGTCTGTGTGTCTCTGTGTTGTCTCTCTCTCTGCGTGTGTGTCTGTCTGTGTGTCTCTGTGTTGTCTCTCTCTCTCTCTCTCTCTGCGTGTATGTCTGTCTGTGTGTCTCTGTGTTGTCTCTCTCTCTCTCTGCGTGTATGTCTGTATGTGTGTCTCTGTGTTGTCTCTCTCTCTGCGTGTGTGTCTGTCTGTGTGTCTCTGTGTTGTCTCTCTCTCTCTGCGTGTGTGTCTGTATGTGTGTCTCTGTGTTCTCTCTCTCTCTGCGTGCGTGTCTGTCTGTGTGTCTCTGTGTTGTCTCTCTCTCTGCTTGTGTCTGTCTGTGTGTCTCTGTGTTGTCTCTCTCTGCGTGTGTGTCTGTCTGTGTGTTTCTGTGTTGTCTCTCTCTCTCTGCTTGTGTGTCTGTCTGTGTGTCTCTGTGTTGTCTCTCTCTCTCTGCTTGTGTCTGTCTGTGTGTCTCTGTGTTGTCTCTCTCTGCGTGTGTGTCTGTCTGTGTGTCTCTGTGTTGTCTCTCTCTCTCTGCGTGTGTGTCTGTCTGTGTGTCTCTGTGTTGTCTCTCTCTCTGCTTGTGTCTGTCTGTGTGTCTCTGTGTTGTCTCTCTCTCTCTGCGTGTGTGTCTGTCTGTGTGTCTCTGTGTTGTCTCTCTCTCTCTCTCTGCGTGTGTGTCTGTCTGTGTGTCTCTGTGGTGTCTCTCTCTCTCTCTGCGTGTGTGTCTGTCTGTGTGTCTCTGTGTTCTCTCTCTCTCTGCTTGTGTGTCTGTCTGTGTGTCTCTGTGTTGTCTCTCTCTCTGCGTGTGTGTCTGTCTGTGTGTCTCTGTGTTGTCTCTCTCTCTGCTTGTGTGTCTGTCTGTGTGTGCCTGATGACGGCTGTTTGTGTTGCAATCGAAACGTCGTATTCTATTATTTAATTAATTTCCTTTCCACGTGACTTCACCGAAAGAGCGATTCCTGTAGTCACGAAAGCTCCAAATACAATTAGAACTCAACCATGTTTTTTATTTCTCATCAGGTAAGGCCGTCTGGGCTGTCAGCTTCTTTTCAGAAGCGACCTTGGCCCCGGCAGTCTGGTGAAGGCGCCTGGTGATGCGGGGTGATCGGTGTCTTTGTCTCGTGTGTTCGCGTGATTGTTGTCAGCCCTGGCCTCTCGGAGCACGCTCAGGGCGAGCAGCATTTGCATCCCCGGGTTAAACGGTGGAGGCAGGAGAGTTGGAATCTGTGCGTGGACTGCGATGTGTCCGTCGCTGTCGATGAGTGTCGGCACGAACGGTGCGAGCGCTGCGTGTGCGCGTCTGTTGAAGAGCGAAACGCACACAGCACGTGCGTGGCGGCGGTGTCGTTTGTCATCCACAAGTCACCAGCTCTTGAGACGAAGCAAAATGAATGGTCATGTAACTCACGAGTCTTCTTTGGGTCTTTCCGTAAAGTCACGTAGAGAGGTTCAAATACAATAACAAAAAACAAAAAATACGACGTTTCGATCGCACATAGCTACGTGACTTTAGCGAAAGACCCAAATAATCTGAATTCCTGCAGTCACGAAACCTTTCAGTCAAGATTGAACTCGCACGTGTTGTAAATACACTCTGTGTTGAACGCGCGCCCTGTTGTAGCTGCTGCTGCTGTTGCTGCTGTGTGATGCTGTGTGTGATGCATTGTGTGCCCGCTGTTCCATGCACAGTGGATTGAGCGGCGCAGTAAAGACATTCTCAGCTCACGGGGTGCCCTAATCGCTCAAGTGGGGCCACGATATTAGCTTGGCGGAAGCCAAACGTTACCGCTCTAATTAACTTAGATAAAACGTGGAACGTAAATGAGAGCATTTACATAAACAAAATTAACTGCTTTTTAAATAAGTGGCCTTGTTCCTTGACGCACTGTTGTTCAAAACAAATCTCATGGCGGTTGTCAAGGGGGAGGGGGAGCCCGTCTCGTAGCTTTGGTCACCGGAGGTGCCTTGGCCACTCTTCCCTGGTGGCTGAAGCTGCGAGTTGGGGCCAAAGCACCCCCCACAAAGGCGGCCGTGCGTGGTGTTGGCCACCCACCCCCTCGTGTACCATTCCAGCCTTCATTATGTGCTCGCTAACAGCACTTGCCTCTACTGTCTGTTAAGGCTATACGGGGATCGTTGTTTTGTTGTGCATTAGTGTAGGTGTAGTTATGAACCGATCCTGGGCCTCCTCTAGGTCGACTCAGCCTTACATGAGTCGCTGGTGCGGTGTGTTAAAACATCAGCACCGGGGGAGACAAAGGCGGCCGGGCGTGGTGCTGGCCACCCACCCGCTAGCGAGCCGTGCTGGCCTTCATCGGTGCTGCTACTCGCTAACATCACTCGAATCGGAATCTGTTTTTATACTGCAGGAGAAATCCGATGAGCTTTTAAGATATTTTTTTACAGATGTCCAGTAGGCGGTGAGAACGTCACAACAACACAAACACACGATCGGAGTGCAAAGTATAGGAATGGTAATTAGAAACATTGTGTGTACACTGTGTATACAATATACACATACATCGTATATAAAAGAGTTGCGATTGTATACACAATGTATAATATACAGTGCATAAGTATACACAATGTATATGTATATATTGTGTATACATTGCATCCAATGTATACATAATGTATACATATTATACATTGTATACGCATGTATAATATACAATATATAATTATACATAATTAGATATTGTATATACAATGTATATTATACATGATCCCATGACATACATCGTATATACTTATAAATTGTATTATAGACCATGCATAAGCATACACAATGTATAAGCATACATGGGGTATATATACAATGGCAACAATCATCGGCCTTCCCCGCCCCCGCTCCTACTGTCAAAACTTGGCAGGACCCTCCTGAACAAGAGCCGCGAGACTCCGGGTCGTCAACAACAACAATCACAACAATCACAACAACAATCACAACAACAATCACAACAATGCCGCCGTTCAGCACCAGCCATTGTTGGGACAGCGCCCATGAGCCAGCAAGGCGCGCGTGCACGTTTACAGTACGCACAAAGACACAGGTCCCCCGTGTAGCCTCGACAGACTGTTGGGGCAAGTGCTGTTGGCGAGAGCAGCACCTCGGAAGGCCGACACGGCACACGAGGGGGGCCAGCACCACGCCCCGCCGCATTCGTCTCCCCAATGTTTACACGCCGCACCAGGTACTCATTCGAGGCTGAGTCGACCTAGGCGAGGCCCGGAACCGGTTCAGATAATCGTCACCGGTGTTGGTGGCCGTGAGCGGGAATCGAACCCGGGGCTGGCGGGGTTGGTGAACGCAGCGAAGCGCTAACCGCGACGCCACCGCTCCCCACACCCACCCAGCCATGTTCGCTCCGCGCGCCACGCCTGCCCGACAGCACCGCGGCAACAAAGATCCCCCGTGTAGCCTGCGCAGATTGTTCGGGCAAGTGGCGTGAGCAGCACCACATATATTTATTTATTTTGAATAAAGGTCGGTAAAGAGGGCACGACAGGGAGATGCAGTCGCGACAGGGCGATGCAGTCGCGCCCGGCCGCCTTTGTCTCCCCAGTGTCGTTGTTTACACGCGCGGCGCCAGGCACTCATTTAAGGTCGAGTCTACCTAGGAGACGTTGGGTAGAGGGAGGGACAGGTCTAGGACTGGCTGGGGTATCACTCGGGTCTCACGTGGCACGCACACGATGCATGCGGCACGCGGTCACCATTACTGGGCCGTATACAGAGACAAAGATCCCCCGTGTAGCCTGTAACAGACTGCTGGGGCAAGTGCTGTTTACGAGCAGCTCCGATGAAGGTCGGCACCGCACACGAGGGGGGGGGGTGGCCAACACCACGCCCGGCCGCCTTTGTCTCACCGGTGGCGACGTTTACACACCGCACCGGGTACTCATTTGAGGCCGAGTCGACCTAGAGGAGGCCCAGGACCGGTTCAGATAATCGTCACTGGTGTTGGTTGGTCGTGAGCGGGAATCGAACTCGGGTGGCAGTGGTCGTAGAGCAGCGCGCTAACCGATACACACACGTACACACACACACGCACACACACACGTACACACACACACACACGCGTACACACACGTACACACACGTACACACACACACGTACACACACACACGCGTACACACACTCGTACACACACACACGTACACACACACACGCGTACACGCACACACGCGTACACGTACACACACGCGTACACGCACACGTACACACACACAAGCGTACACGCACACACACACACACGTACACACACACACGTACACACACACGCGTACACACACTCGTACACACACACTCGTACACACACACGAGTACACCCACACGTACACACACACACGCCTACACACACTCGTACACACACACGCGTACACGCACACACACACACGCGTACACACACACGTACACGCACACGCGTACACGCACACGCGTACACGCACACACACGCGTACACACACACGTACACACACGCGTACACACACACGTACACACACACGTACAAAGACTCGTACACGCACACGCGTACACACACACACACGCGTACACACACACACGCGTACACACACACACACGTACACACATACGTACACACACACGTACAAACACGCGTACACGCACACACACACGTACACACACACGTACACACACGTACAAACACGCGTACACGCGCACACACACACGCGTACACACACACATGTACACACACACGCGCACACACACACGCGCGCACACGTGCAGTGATGACACGTGTACATGCGAAAACAGATCAACACATAAACACGGTCTCCCATACAGGCGCATAGACCATAGGACCAAGGTGGTGGTGGTAGTGAAAGCATCCATTACTGAACACACGCGCGTGCACAACAACAGCAGCATGCGCGTGCACAACAACAACAGCAGCAGCACGAACGCGCCGACGCAGAGCCAACACACAGAGCCAACGCACAGAACGGACTGCGCGCGTTCAACGCGCCGCGCTCGGAGCGCGATCCGTGATTTGGCGCTGGTACCTTGGACGGGAGCGCCTCGCTGCTGCTGCTGCTGCGAAGTCTCCTGCAGCCGTCGCCGCCGCCGCTGGCTCTCACTGCTGCTGCTGCTGACCGACAACAGCGGCAGTGTCAGCAGCGAGGGCGTCAGGAGGGGGGGGGGCAGTGACGGAGCGCCGCTCGCTGTTTGACGGCCCCGCGCGGCGCGTGTGTGCTGAGCGGCGCGTGTGTGCTGAGCGGCGCGTGAGTGCTGAGCGGCGCGTGTGTGCTGAGCGGCGCGTGAGTGCTGAGCGGCGCGTGTGTGCTGAGCGGCGCGTGAGTGCTGAGCGGCGCGTGTGTGCTGAGCGGCGCGTGTGTGCTGAGCGGCGCGTGTGTGCTGAGCGGCGCGTGTGTGCTGAGCGGCGCGTGTGTGCTGAGCGGCGCGTGTGTGCTGAGCGGCGCGTGAGTGCTGAGCGGCGCGTGAGTGCTGAGCGGCGCGTGTGTGCTGAGCGGCGCGTGAGTGCTGAGCGGCGCGTGTGTGCTGAGCGGCGCGTGTGTGCTGAGCGGCGCGTGTGTGCTGAGCGGCGCGTGTGTGCTGAGCGGCGCGTGAGTGCTGAGCGGCGCGTGTGTGCTGAGCGGCGCGCGAGTGCTGAGCGGCGCGCGAGTGCTGAGCGGCGCGCGTGTGCTGAGCGGCGCGCGTGTGCTGAGCGGCGAGCTGATCGCGGGGTCTTTGGGGGCTGCCGGGGGGAGACAAAGACGCGCGGGGACACGCGCGGAATACCGAGTGGCTCCTTTGTCACGTGGCGTCACGTGCTGCCTACATCTCTCTCTCTGTGTGTCTCTCTGTGTGTGTCTCTCTCTCTCTCTCTGTGTCTCTATGTGTGTGTCTCTCTCTCTGTGTCTCTATCTCTCTCTGTGTCTCTGTGTGTTTCTCTGTCTCTGTGTGTGTGTGTCTCTCTCTCTGTGTCTCTCTGTGTGTTTCTGTGTTTTTCTCTCTCTCTCTCTCTGTCTCTCTCTCTCTCTGTGTCTCTGTGTGTGTGTCTCTCTCTGTGCGTCTCTCTGTGTGTGCTCTCTGTGTGTGCTCTCACGACGAGCTCGCGTTTCTTCCTTCGCGTGATGGTTGGTGTTCATCATCATCACCCTTCCGCCGTGTTCAATCCACTGCTGGATGAAACCTCTCCTCCTCCCCCCTTCGGTCATTTTTTTCTCTCGCACAAAAAGCTCGCGTGGAGCGGTGGCGCAGTGGTTAGCGCGCTACGCTGCGCTGTGAACCCGGCGGCTGCGATCAGTTCGATGACCGTCCACGGTTGTTGACCCCGTGGCTAAGCGAGCGATATCTGGAACGGGCCTTGGCTGAGCAAGCCATTCACCAAGCTGCACTAACCAGCATGGTGAAGTATGGTGAAACAACCCCCCTACCCCCGCACCGGGATTGCTATATGGGCGATGCACTGCCATAATTAACGTCTTCAATATATGCGAGCTTCGCTCTATGGTTTGTGCACGTGTTTTTGACCTTGTGACTTATTGGACGACTTCACTTAACTTTCACATGTTATGCTGCTTAGTGCAACCGTGTCATCGCCCCCATCCTGTGTGTCCCGGCTTCGCCTGAGCACAGCGACTCGTGGTGCTCTCAGGGACCCGCCCGTGCCTCGCTGGGTCACCTCGGGAGCCCGTCCCGTCCTCGCAAGATTACTTCCGCGCCCGTTATCCACGAAGATCCAATCGAGATTCCTCGCGTCCCTTGCCAATGTCCACACGTTGGAGAAACATTCAGGACTTGTTTTTATTCTTCTAACGACGACGATAAAAAGCGCCGATCACTCCCCGTTACAAAACGTCGCAGGCAGAGAGGAAATTAAACCGCGGCCCTGCGAATTGTGCTGGGACATTGCCAAAGACGTCAGTGCCCCCCCCTCCCCCCGAAGTGGCCCGATAGAGCAAACGGAGCGCCTCGGGTGAAGTGAAACCGATGGTGCGATCTGCCTCGGTGAGGCCCGTGCATCAACATGTGACCCAGCCACACACCGCGAGGCGCTTTCGCCACGCTCACGAAATGTGACGGCGCAGCAGCAGCAGCAGCGAAGCGGCGGCTTCAAGCGGGGCTGCTCAGGTCCATCCCGCTCGCTCAGCTCGAGGGGAGACACAAACAACATCAGCAGTGCCTGGAGACTGCTCAAATAAATAAACATATTCGCTGGACTCCGCCCTTCGCAACCCCACAGCCCACTGGACAAGGTCGACATGTTCGTACGCAGGGGATGAGGCAGTGGTTCTTAACCTTCCCTGCAGCCTTGCACCCATTTGGCTCTCAATCGTGACGAACATTTACAATGTTAGTAAATACATAGGGGGTTGATTAAACAAAGTCGTTGTACTTGACGATTTACCCTCTAAAACAATCTGGCCACGTGTCGCACCCCCAGGGAGTGCATGCACCCCAGTTGAGAAGAGCCACCACTGATTTAAGGCTTCTACAGAAACCGTATGGTGGGAAATCCCTCCCAACAAGCCCACAGACCTGAGCGGGCACCTCCACAGCCAGCGATGCAAATTGTGAAACATTAAATCATTGGAACCTCAGGAAACACTTGAAACGCGTGCGCAGGGCTAAATGGGCGAAATCTCAACACGAGCGCTTTATATATATATGAACTATAATTAAAAACAAAAGATGACAGCCCTTTGTTCACCCACTGCAGGGGTGAAGAGATCCCCGCCCCCCCCAGTCTATTTCCATCACAGGGGTTGTTTGACCATACTTCACCGAGCGGTAAATGAGGTGCCCAAGATGGGTTCAAGGCATCGTTCGTCACCGACGTCGGCTGTGGGCCAAGAGTCGAACTCGCGTCGCCAGGTTCACGGCTCGGTGGCCAACCACGACACGCCGCCGTTCTAATTATGGACGTGCAAAACAGGCAAGAGCCCGCTGGGAATGTGTTTTAACACCACTGCAATATCGTGAATGCCGAGAAGAAATTGCTTAGCGATTTAGTTGCAGCCAATTTGTGCCGTGTGATATTTCCCACTTCCCTGTGTTGTGGTTATTATCTCACCAAGGACTGGGTCTAAATGGGTTTTTGCCAAGCGACACATTTTTGCTATTGTGTGTACGAATTATATTAAACAAAAACATATATTTGTACGATATACCAATGCGATGTGTGTGCATATATATGACGTAGACAAATAAAATATGCACACAAAAACCATTTGTATAGTCAAAGTGTTTATTTCTAAATTACTCAAGGTTCATATTTTCTTAACAAACGTTTAACAAAAACGCCATTTAGCACAGCTGCTTTTGTATCACACAGAGGCAATAAAAATAATGAAGACACGCGAGACGAGAGGCTTGTGTTTTCACTGCTGCTGCTGATGTTGCAGGCAAGCCCTCTGATTGGCCAGGTGCAGCATGTCGCGCGACACCCCCTCCACCCGCTCGTGGTAGGCGTGGATTTTACCCAGAAGCCTTTCCCGTAGCTGTGAGAGAGAGAGAAAAATGGCAAAACACGTTCACGCAAAAAAAAATCGTTAACAACAAAAATGTAAAGTGCACGCACGTTACAATTAACGTGGCGATAACCGAATCGGGGAGTCGTACGTGACAACGTATTCACATCGCACCACGCGTTGAAAGCCAGTGGCAGCGAAAGCCTCCCCAGAAGGCACACCCCGCCCCGCCTGCTCTCTCTCCACTCCCGGTCATGCTGATGTTACCCGTGCGTGAGTGTGCCCTCTGATGGGATCGTTGATATTGCTTCAATACATTCAGAGCCCCTGGCAGCAAGGGTCATTCGCACCCATTACACGGCGTTTAAGCCTCTAAGCCAGCGGTTCTTAACCTTTACTGCAGCCTTGCATCCCCACTTTGGTTTTAAATCGTAACAAAAATTACGTTAATACTTGGGTTCGATGAAACAAATTAGTTGTACTTACGTTCCCGTACTTAATTGGTGTTTTCGATGATTTACCGTCTAAAATAGATCTGGCCACGTCTCGCACCCCCACAAAGTGCATCTCGCACCCCCAGGGGGTGCACCCCAGGTTAAGAAGAACCACTCTAAGCTGTACTCATTCCACTACTACTATTTTTATCTTGATTTGAAGCTTTCGTGACTGCAGGAATCCATACTCTTTGGTTCTTTCGGTAAAGTCACGTAGGTAGATAATCAAATCAAATGAATCACGACGTTTCGGTCGCAACACCAGCGTCCGCCACCTGACGACGGACGCTGGTGTTGCGCCCGAAACGTCGCGATTCATTTTTATTTTCTACCTACGTGACTTGACAAAAATAACCAGAGTACTATTACTCTAGCAGGTAAGGCCCACTGAGCTTTATAGCTCCTTTTCAGAAGTGACCTGGCCACAAGTGGCTCATCACATGGAAATTTAAAGCAGCCAAATACTCTAAACGCACGTTGATTCTAAATGTGGAGGGAAAAACCGGAGGACCCGGAGAAAACCAACGCAATGAAGGGGAGAGAACATGCACACTCCAAATATACAGACGTCAGGGTCGGGATCGAAACCAAGACCTCCTGTGCACCAAGCGAGGTAGTTAACATCTCCTCAACATCAATTCTAATGAACCAGGAAAGATGATGGGTTAAGTCAACCCGCTGAGCAGGACGTGAGCCTGCAACACTGATGCTGCGGCTGGAGCACACGAAGCCACAGTGCTACCTGGCCACGAGAGGACATCAACCATCAAAGGGCCCAATGTGGTGGTTGATGGGGAAAATGTTCCCATGGACACCCTTCCCATGGCCTCCAAGCAGCGATGTTGCCATCACGTGGGCCCATGGGAGCAGAACCTGGGATACGGTAAAACCCGGAAGTGGCAGAGCCCCCACAGTTTTGTCCAGAATTTACAAAAGGCGAGTTTGCTCTCGCGCTGTGACCAGGGCCTTAGCGGTGCCGGGCTCAGCGCTGTGACCCGGGCCAAGTGTTAGGAAGAGCTGCCCCGATTCACTCGGCTGATGAGTGCTGCTGCTGCTGCTTAGCACCTCCATGTCGGTCGGACTTGAGCCCTCCTGCAGCGCGAAGAGCAGCTGATCGATGGTGGAGTAGGGCACCCACACGGGGGGAGCGGTGGCTGACAGGGGATCCTGAGAGGAGGGATATGCACACAGACAAAGGTCCCCCGTGTAACCTTAACAGACTGTTGGGGCAAGCGATGATTGTGAGCACCTATGAAGGCCGGCACGGCTCACGAGGGGGTGGATGGTCAACACCACCCCCAGCCGCCTGTGTCAGAACTGGAGGGTTAGGGTTAGGTTAGGACTGGAGGGTTAGGGTTAGGTTAGAACTAGAGGGTTAGGGTCATGTGCTGTGGGTCCTTTAGACCATTCCCACACTGTGGCCAAATCACCTGGAATGTGCTCAATG